TAATAAAAGGTGTGGTTGGATGTGGCTAGTAAAAAATTAGTTAAAAAGTAATTATAAAAATCATGCAATGTTGCCCACCACCACTGAGGTTGGCATCCAAAAATTGGTAACAACAATCTCTAGATCCAGTCAAGTTCCTTAACCATATCTAGCACAGCAACAAAAACAGCAGCTACTGAAGCCACTACTTCTGCTGAAAGTGATGATATCACTTTTCAGTACTCCAGTATCATAACAACTATTATTACACAATGAATTAATATTTCTATTATTCCAATCATTCTTAACTAGACTGGCACAAGTCAGTTTCCTTTTAAGCTGTGCTAAATGAAAAGGCTATCGTGGGTCCAACCTTAAATTATCAATGGACAAATATGGACATGTACTATCAAAATACTACATATCAGTTACTATAGCAACACAACAATGATTAAATTATATTTATAAATGTTCTTTACTTTTCTCCACAATGCTTCTGCTGTTAATTTGTGTGTATCTTAGAAATCCAGCTTTCTTCATCTTACGATCAACTTACACATATGTAATAATATCACTAATGAATAATGATAACCACTCCTAGTAATTAATAATAATAATAATAATAATAATAGTCATAATTAATTGTTATTATTACTTCATATTCTGTGAATAAATTAGTTGATATTTCTTGATTGATTTGATTTGATACTTAATGATACATTCATTGCCGGACTATGAATGAAAGATTCAGAGATGTGAGTAATGTGACTGAAATAGACAAATAAGAACAAGAGGACAAACCTCATTAACATGAGGTTTAAAAGTAATTATTGATTACCGTCTTTCTGTGATCAATGATGTGAAATATTTAGCAACTGCTTTCTGTAAAGATGTCTGCTACTCCTAATAAATAAATAAATAAATAAATAAATATTAATATTTAACCTGAGAGTACAGTAACATTGTACAGTGTAATAATAATAATAATTATTATTATTATTATTATAATTATAATAATGATAATGATAATAATAATAATAATAATAGTCATAATTAATTGTTATTATTACTTCATATTTAGTGAATAAACTATAGTTGATATTTGATTTGATACTTTGTGATACATTCATTGCCGGACTATGAATGAAAGATTCAGAGATGTGAGTAACATGACTGAAATAGACAAATAAAAACAAGAGGACAAACCTCATTAACATGAGGTTTAAAAGTAATTATTGATTACCGTCTTTCTGTGATTAATGACGTGAAATAGTTAGCAAATGTTTTCTGTAAAGACGCCTGCCACTCCTAATAAATAAATAAATAAATGTTAATATTTAACCTGAGAGTACGGTAACATTGTAATTTCAACAGTGCTGTTAACTTCTGCTAGTTTCAATGGAGCTGGAAATTAATAAATAAACAAGCAACAAGAACAAAAACAACAATACCATCACTTAGAATGTGTCTCCCATCAATAGTTGTTAATACTTTACTAAGAATTGATTTGTCAGGGGCGTATCTAGGAATATGGAGAGGGGATGCTGAGGGCGCGCGAAGCGCGCCGCCATTTGGTCACACCCACTTTTACGGCGGGTAAAAAACGGCCTTTTCCTACATTTTTGTTAATTACGGGTGGGGCCAAGATCATTTCAAGCGTACTGCCATGTTACTGGTACTTCTGAAGTTCGGATTGCTCCTTAAAGCACTGGAAACTGCTGAAATTATGATCAGGGGGGTAGATCACTTTGTTTGGAGGCTTGGTAGTGATGCAAGATTCCAGGATTCGAGTAATTTTTTTCTGAGCCCAGCCATGAGGGGGGGTGCTCAAGCCCCTTCAGCCCCCCCCCCCTAAATACGCCTCTGGATTTGTGATCAACTAACAGCTGACACAAACACCCTCCGGCTAATCTGAGACTAACACTGACCTCAGTATAATAATGGATCTTTAATAAATTAGAATTAGCAATTTTTTACCATGTTGGAAACTATTTACAAAAATACATATAGACCACCCGCGCGTTAGGTAACACTTCTTTGAAGTCGGCAAAACATTGG